GAAAACAGCTCAGAAAATGGATCATTGGAGAAAATTTCAATTCCACTCCCCCTCAAATTGGAGCCTTTTATTTGAACATAATTGTTAACATCTGCAATTTTGAATGGCGTATGTAACGAGCAAAGAAACTCTTTTTACAATGCAATGTAACATGCGCTTGCTCCAAATTGCTTGGAAGCACTTTCCCGAGGATAAATTCTAATAAAATTTTAGTTTTTATTGAATAAATAGCAACTTATGCAACGACCGTAAATTAACTAGATGCCCAGTGTGGCAAAAACAGTTTCCTTTTGGGATTCCTTTCTGCAAACAACAGATTTTTGTCTGTTTTTTGTTGTTTTTTTTTATCTTCGCTTCTCTCCCACTTCCAATGTTGTAGGAATCCTCGCATTTGATATAGCGCCTTATCGCGTCTTCAAGATGTCTTAAAGCGCTTCACAGAATATACTGTAATGTGAATTGACAGGGTATTTTGTGGGCAAAGACTTGAGCTGGGGTATCAGTCCCAGATTCCCTCCAGCACCTCACCATTTGTAAACCTGGACACTGAATGTTTGGCAAGCTCATAATAATCTGGAAAATTAGTTCCACACACACGCACACACACACAGAGTGTGCTGTACATCATTTCTTTGGGGCCGTTGAATGTTTTCAAAGCTCAACACTCGGCTTCGGTTATGTAATACTCACAGGCACGTTGGGAGTCACTTGTGTTGACTCGGAGGTGTTTTCTCGGGCTTTATCCAGCAGGCATTTCTTGCAGAATAATAGTCTCTTCCAAGGACCATCTGTGGCTTTATTATATCTCATCAATGGGCTGAGGGTTGCCAAGCATTTGCTGAAACTACTGAAGCATGAGGAAGACATTACATCAGTACAATTAAGTAACATTTTCCAGAGTCCAGCTGGGAAACATATTACCCAGTCAACCCATGTGAGGATCCTTTTTTATTCCCTCCACTTTGAATGTAAACTCATGCATTAACTCTGCGAGCAGGAATAGCACATCCTTTACATCAGAGGTGCAAAATAATAATAATCCTTACATTTGATATAGCGCCTTATCGTGTCGTCGAGATGTTTCGAAATGTTTCACAGAATATACTGTAAAGTGAATTGACTGGGGATTTCGTGGGCGAAATGGAGTATGAAGTAACTATCACATCATATTTCAATCAGTCTGTGATGATCATCACCCATTATAATGGTTGCCCACAGGGAAATGATACCTCTTGTTACTTTTCCAGCAACAGCGACAACTTGAATTTACATGGTGCCCTTCACACAGGGTCGTGTTTCACAGTGCTGCACATTGGTGGGATGAGAGTTTGAGAAAGGGAGAAGGTGAAGGTGGAGGTGACCATAGTTGCGTTGAAGACGTACGTCTTAAGGTGGGATTCAAAGGTAGATAGAGAGGGCAGCAGTGTTGCACGATGATATCCAACTCAAGCCAATGGCTAAGGCTGGCAAACCATTCAAAGCTCGTCGATACACAGAAACATATTCAAAAGGAGGCTGTTTGGCTCACAGTGTCCGTGCCAATCAGACGTAACAAACTATTTGCTAATTCGGCATGTATTACCATACGTTAGAAGGCCCAACATATGTTCAGCCCTCACGTGAGTGGTTCAGCGTTGTTACGGACGTGGATCCACAGGCTATTTCGGTTTGATCTCAAGCTCTATTGTTTGTCGCTTGAAGGCAATGGGCAACGCTCATTATTTAACTGCAAGCGGGGAAACACCTGCTGGGAGTGTAAACACCGCATCTTCTCCAGTCCCTGTGTAAGGAATAGAAATAGCATTGCAGAAATCTTAGTGGATGGGCGGGCCCGTGGGCTAAGCAATGGTGACAATGAATCCCAATTACTAATCAGCCAGGGATAAAGCTATTTCTGCCCGTGGGCGACCAGTATGGCAATGCAGCTCCTCAGCCTGCCAACAGCATGAGCGTGTTTTTCAGCCATCGTTCCCACTACTTCCTTCCCCTCATTCTCTGCTCTCTTCCTGCATTGAAGTCATTCAGCAGCTGTTGGTAGCACAGGCTCTCACTCACCTGTATGGCCTGAGAGCTTTCGGTGCATTCAGACACCCAGGTAACGTAGGTCACCCTCTCCCTCCCCTCCTCTTTGAAAACATACCGAACAAGTCCGGGGTTTGTTGGTAGAGGTTTATGCAGATAATTATGATACATATATATACACACACAGGCACACACGTATACACACACACACATACATACATTCATATACACTCTGCCTCCATCCTCAGGAACTCCATCCTGCAATCCCTCTGCTTCGCCTCCTCCTTTGCCTCCTTCAAGACCTGTCTCAAGACCCTCCTCTTACACCGTGCTTTTGATCACCCTGCTTCCCCCCCACCCCTACCCTCCACCCTCCCCAATCCCGTCCTTCAGTGTCCAAAACACTGATTATTCAGCGCTTTGGGATGTCCTCCCGACGTGAAAGGCGCTGTACAAATATAATGTTATTGTTGCTGTATTCACACAGATATACACAGACACACATTTGTATATACACACACATACTTATACACCCACACATGCATATACACACGTAGACATACATACACATATACAGTATGTACACATACGTATACACACACACATATGTACGCAGAAAGTGGACGTCTAAGTGACAGATGTGTTTGGTTTCAGAGCTCAGTCACGTTGACCCCTTGAGATGCATCAATGACCACAGCTCTCACCTCGGATTTAAGTAGGATTTTTTTTGGAGGCGGGGGCTGGGAGGCTTATCTTTGAGCGGGAAAATCTGAGTATGTTTCTATAAATAAGGTGCAGATTATATCCTTTTTAGGATCAATTTCCTCTGGTTAAAATTCCAGGAGTTGTTTGTGCTCGAAACTGTTAATTTTTGTGAATTTTATTTTGAGAAGGAAATAAAGCCTCACTTGCCAAACAACTTTGATATTTCTTTCCCAACACTGACCGGAAAACAAAGCCCAAACCAGTTATAAATAAGCCTTTGATGAGATTGCCTACATTTGAGTTAAACAATGTTTGACCTGTCTGACAGGCCCTGAATTCTCTCCCTTGTGGTACTCATTTTCTTACACACACTGTAAATAAAAGGAAGTGAATGCAGTTCCCCGTGAAATAAAATCCCTAAGGATTTCTCTCGGGCAAACTTCATTCTCCCGTCGATGTTTCTGTAGTACCACTGACGTGGATTTGTTTGTGTTGGGTAAGGTAGAGGGACCCATGTTCAGCCTTCAATGCGCGAAAAACAATGTATAGGAATTGCAGATAAAATGTACCCACAATACACTCTCTCTGCAATGTCTTCGAGAACAGAACTGCATAAAACCTGCATTGTGAGGGGAAATAATTGTGGTCTTTACGCCGGTAACAAGGCACTCGGTCAATGTGTGCCTTGTGTCAGAGTTCAGCGTACTTCACTCAATGTTTCTGTGAGGTCCACTGCACATTGTCACAATGGGAATTGAGGCTAAAAGGCTGTGGAGTCCTGTAGCTTAGCAGTTAGAGCACTCGCGAGAGCGAGTTCGATTCCCGGGCAGGGCAAAACATTGGGCAAGTTTGCCTTACTCCACACGCCTCTGTTTACCTAGCAGCAAGTGGAAACCCGGTTGGTAGTCAGTTGGCGGATCGCTTTTCCGTAAGTAATAATAATTCCTTCAAAAATATAATAATAAATTGGCGAATTCAATCCACAACTGTTTGCGGGACACTGCCGAGTGCAATCGTCTGCCGCGTTTCGCCCACAAAATATTTACGGTCAATTCATTTTACAATATATTCTGTGAAGTGCTTTGAGACGTCTCGAAGACGTGATAAGGCACTATATCAAATGGAAGGATTGTTGTTATTATTATATTACAGCAGCAGAAAGCGGAACAAAATCAGTCAAAACATTCTGCAGCAACATAAACCGAAAATGCTCAAACATTCCTCGGTTCGGGGGACTGTACTGATCGGGTGAAGCTTGGCAGTGGAAAGTGAGGGAAAGTTCACGGCGAACAAACAAAATAGTCTTGAGATTTATGATGCCATCAGTCACTTCCTTAAGGTTTGGGCTGGGACCACTTTACGTTCCGAATCTGCAGCCAGAAAGTGCTTGATATTAACATCATGGCTTCTTGTCTCCGTCCCATTTTGTTTCAGCCGCTCGGGATTTTAATATGCTCTGCGATCCTCGAACGAAAAAAAAAAGCACAGGGCCATTTATCAAGCCTGGATTGGAACTCTCTTGAGTTGAAATGTATTCTCCTCTTGCCTTCCTTAAAGTAACTTCATCATTGTTTTAAATCCCAGTGTTAGCAGACGAGCAAAATGGACAGATGTCTGTCTGTCTCTCTCTGGTATAACCAGGGGCCAGAGAGAGAGAGAGAGACACCTCTGACACCTTCCAGCTGTCTTCGCGATGCTTCTGAATGCCGTTGCTCACGGCCAAACGGCTCAGCCACATTTCAGTCGTGGGGTTTTGTTTTACGCAGGGTGACCCAAAAAGTTGTGATACCATTACAATGCCTAATAAGTCGTAAATAAATGACGATATTTTGTGGGGGGGTGGTTTAGATAATAGAGTAGATATCACGACATTTTGGTCTTCCTGTATTAGAAGCGATATTTTTTGTTCATCTCCTCTGTAGCCTCTGGTGATTGTAAACAAGGTGACAAAGAGTCTGTGCAAACGATAATCTTAGCACCGTCGAGACGCCTCGAAGCGCCCTGCATGTTTTCAATGTGAAGTGTAGTGACTGCGCATTTTGTAGGCAAGTGCGAGAGCTAATCTGAGTGCAACAATTTGCATTTATATAGCGCCCTTCGCACGGGGTGGCTTGCCGGAGCGCTTGAAACAGCGTCCTGCGAAGAGCCATGAAGTGAATGACCAGTTTTATGGGGAGATTATTACTGGCCAGGACAAAATCTGGTGTAGCAAGGCAAAGCCTGATAACTTGATGTCTTCCTAACAATCTGTGTGTTACTTTTTCAAACCATAGTCCAATGGAGCTGCTATGCTTCGGCAAATGAATCCACCACCGAAGCTCCTATCAGTTCTACAGCTGTGATCAGCACGACAGGCAGCGAAAGCGTGTCAACTGTGGAACCAAGTAATTCTGCGAACGCAGGTAGGAACGGTCTTCAAACTCTCATTTCTTAGTTAATTCAGTGCCTGTCGAGAGTCTACGCCCATGTGGGTTGTGATATCACCTGAATCACAGCGAGCTAGGCCAGTTTGCGTGCCTGGTTTACGTGTCCTCATAAGCCAGAACTCAAACAGTGATGATCTCAATGTTTGGTGATACGACAGCCATCACCGGTAATAATGATCGCTTGTCCGTTTACCGCGTTTCCTAATAAATTAGAATCATTCCTTGGTTTGGATTTTAGTCGTACGTTCAGTAAAGTCCAACGTATCGGAGCATTGCTGCTGTAGCTGCTGCCGCTGTTGCTTGGCTTTTAAACCTCCGCCTGCTCCTGCTGCTTTGTGGAATTTGTTTAGCCCTCGGTCCGTGAATAAAGTAGCCTTCAGCGTGAGCAGGGCTCCTCTTAACAAGTCAATTGCATTGTTTTGGTGTTACAGAAATCACGTCTGCGCCGACTAATAGCGTGTTGGTAACTGACGATCCAATTGGCTCGAGTGTAGCCGTTACAAGTACATCCCCGGTGGGGTCAGTGACTACAACCGACCCAGCGTCACCAAGCTCGGAAAGCCATGACAACGAGACAACACTTCTGAGCACTGCCATCAGTAGCTCAGCCATCACCAGCCCCACCGCCAACACCAGCTCGGCAACTGTTAAGGAAAGTGATCCCATCATCCACTCATCACCTCCTTCAACTGTTGCCCCGACTCAGTTCAAAACTGTCTCGACTCTGCCAACTGTAACATCAGAGGAATCGTCGATCACTACTGATAAATCAAGCAAAGCTTTGGTAAGTGGCTGAGTTATCACTGCGTGAATAATAATAATAATAATACGTGCATCTGATAAAGCGCCTTATCGCGTCTTCGAGGCATCTCTCAGAATATACTGTAGAGTGCAGTGACTGTGGATTTTGTGGGCGAAGCACGGCGGCCAAGTGTGCACAGTGAGGTCCCACAATCAGTTGTGGATTGAGCGACCAAATTATGCTATTAAATGCTATTAAAAACTCAACCATGTTATCAAACCTTTTGCCTGTCGACATGAAGGACGGCAATGTTATGAGGCCCATGTAGTTGATGGTGAAACAGCTCTGGTTTACGTCAATGTAGGCGCTCATTCAGTAATCCTCACCTACAAATACACAGTCACTCCACTTTACGGTTAAAATCCTGTGATGCGCTTTGAGACGTGTCCCCCCCCCCCCCCCCCCACACCCAGCCTGAAAGGCGCTGTGTCAGACGCAAGGATTATTATTATAGTAATCTGAGGACCTGTGTGATAAATAAAACAAACAACCAATTGCATTTGTATAGCGCCTTTTTAGTTGAAAGGAGCCATACAAATGTATACACAATAAACCTTGCACTTGATATAGTGCTTCAGTTTGAATGATGAGACCATTATTGTGATGACAACAGGACAAAAATGTGATTTGTGGAACAAAATGCTCTCTAAAATGTATGGGCTGAAAAGAATGAAATAATTTCTTGCTGCCTGAACCTTCTGCCACATTAATTTCAGGGAACAAAAATTGCTTTAAAAACAGGAAAAGTGTCTCTCCAGGGTTTCCTCACCTCCCGCACACTAACAATAGATCAGTTGAATGTTGATGTCTTTCAAGAAGTAAATGTTTAATATCCTTTTTTGAAATAGCCTCAAATAGCACTTCCTGATTTTTAACACGCTGCTACTGAAATACACTCGGAAACTAAAAGAAAGTTCATCTCACAAGACTCTGGTAGACAATTGTCAAACAAAAGCTGGTAAACATTTCCCCTCCGTGATACGAGTATAACTCTCACGGTGTGAGTGAGCACGGTTATTTTTAAAATAGCTCCAAGCTCCGGAGGTATTTATGTTAAAGACCTCACATCTGCTGCACATTAGAAAATAATGAGGTACACTTTGCAGCTTTTTAAATATTAACACCGGCCACAGTTTTGAAACGCCGCAAATTCTACCCCGATATTGAGTGGCAGGTCAGCGTAATAATAATAATAATAATAATCCTTGCATTTGATATAGCGCTTTTCACGTCGGGAGGACGTACCAAAGCACTTCACAGAACACACTGTAAAGTGAATTGACTGTATATTTGTGGGCGAACGCGGCAGCCAATTGCGCACAGCAATGTCCCACAAACAGTCGTAGATTGAAAATGACCAATTTATTATTGTTTTGGGTTTTTGGAGGGATTATTATTAGGCTCTGTGTGGAGTAAGGAAACTTGCCCAAGGTTTCGTTCGCCCTCTGCCTGGAATTGAACTCAGGTCTCTCACTTGCAAAGCGAGTGCTCTAACCACTGAGCTACAGGACTCCAGCGTAGGAAAGGAATGTAACCGTGCTGTAAAGTTCTGATGAAATGCAAAAGCTCTTGTCGTCCACAAACAAACTGCCCTTGTCCTCTCTCGGTTACACTGCAGTTGTCATTGTTCTTTCGTCTGATTCAAGACCCAAGGTCATCGCACGGCGATCACTGAAAGAGGCAATCTTTTCGCTCCAATTTTTAGAACCGCATTTATGATAATCATAGTTTAATTTGATGCAGCACCTTTCTGCGTCGTCGAGACACCTCGAAGATTTTGCTGTGAACTGTAGTGATTATGTATTTGCAGGCAAACGGAGCAATCAATTTGCAACACAGCAATGTCCCACAAACAGCCATGCAGTGATTTGACCAATTTTATTGGGGGGGATTGTTGGACAGTACACCGGGAGAAAGTCTCTTTTCTTTTCAAGTACAGTAATGCCATGGGATTTTTAACATCTGTCTGAACAGGTAGATGAGTCCTCCTTTTAACATCTCCTCCAAGGGATGGCATCTCCAACGATGCAGTACTTAACATACACTGCATTGGAGTAACAGCCTGTGAGATGACATGGAGGCTTGAACCCACAACCTTCTGATTCAGAGGCGAGACCACCACCAAATGAACCAGGCTGATTTCCATTTGAAAGAGACAGCGAAAAGACATTTATGCTGCAATCAGTGTTTGATAAACCCCCAACCAAACGTACCCTGTCTATGAACATTAGAATGTGTCTTATTTAGTGGTAGCAATGAATGCATGGAATACTCTATGTGGTTCTGTGTGTGTGTGTGTGTGTGTGCAGGTAGCAGAGCTTGTAGAAATTATAATCTAAAATACCATTGTGCAAAATGTTATCATAGGAGAACGTTCTTGTATTTGAATTCAGACTGAGTTGCAGAAGGAATGGCTAAACAGACTGAGATGCAAATATTGTGAATTGGCCATTGTCCTCGCCAGTCCGTGGCAATAATACTCCAAAGGCAACTAATCGCCCTCCAAGCACAAAACGTCTCGGCCACAGAGGTGAACCTTTGTCAGGCTTCAAGAAAAAAAAGCTACACAAAAGAACCTAGTAAGGATTTCCACTGTGTATAAAAATATTTCTGTGGGTGAAAACATTCAGATCAAATCCTGTGTACTGAGAGGTTTTTTGTGTTCTCTTTGAAAGAGTTCATTTTCTCTCACTCGCTTCAGTCAGATACAACTGATTATAGGTTCATATCAAATGTCTTTTTTTCCCATGGACCTTTTGAATGGTTTTACTGGACTTTTGATTTCCATCAACCTGCAGTGTCAACCATCTATGCTTAGCAGTAAAACTGCAGCCAAATACTCCCTGAAGGCAATGACTAAAATGATTTCCATGTGATCCTAAGGCTATGCTAAAGGCTTTGCCAGTGGAAAGGAATATTGTAAAACAAATTACCACTGCATTTTTGAAGCGAGGCCAACCTTAAGCCTGGCCTAAACTTCATATCAACGCTTTGAGACGTCCTCCCAGTGAAGTCTGCCTGAAAGGGTGGTGGAAGCAAATTGGATAGTAGTTTTCAAAAGGGAGTTGGATAGGCACTTAAAAAGGAAAAAATTGGAGGGCTATTGGGTAAGAGCGGGGGAGTGGGACTAGTTGGATGGCTCTTTCAAACAGCCGGCACAGGCACGATGGGCTGAATGGCCTCCCTCTGTGCTGTAAGATTCTGTGGTTTTAAGTTGGCCTTTAATGGGATGTCCCATAACAATCACATGTTGATAAAGACACTGGATGAAGGTTTTGGGTGGGAATGCACGTGGAAGCAATTGTGAGCACGAGTGGCTGTTCGTTTCCTTCAGAAAAGCCTTGTTTCGAGGCTGAATGTGTTGGACCGCATGAGAATGAGCACCTCGATGCATTTGTCCGAATACAAGTGTAATTTAGACGTCTTTGGGAGTCTTTCAGATTAGTGGAGAAGCCGTTGGAATTCTCAGTCGCAACTCAACTCAGCCCTCTGCAGGCGTATGAATCTTGGTCTAACATTCAGCTTGTCGTGAACATTAGTTCTGTAGAAGACTGTGGGCCGGTGCCAATTCACTCACTAAACCGTTGTGAAACTGGGGCAATTTGTCATTTTCTGACTCTCCTTCCAGCGCGTGAGACATCAGTTCCCCAGACAATGGGATATGCTGTGCGAATAGGTGATCTGTTTCGACTAAAACCAGAGAAAACGAAAGCATTTGCCGTGCCTGAGAGCCTTTCCACCTTTCGCTAATTCTCCGATGCTATTTAAATTGCCCTGGATATCCCTCTGTGTGGCGGAGAGGCGGTCTGTTGACATGAGGAGGCATCTTAAGGGGGAGTTGATGTTCAAATGACAGCCTGTGAATGAATTTTTAATGGCTCCACAATTGATGGAACAATTAGCTTAAGTATGCTCCATTAAGGAATTCAAATATAATTACCAGGCTCCTCTCTTGTGCTGACGCTTTTGAAATGACCTGCCCCTGCAAAAATGTCCTCGGAATTTACCAGGTCAATTGACAGACCAGCTGTGTGAGCTGCCTTCGGGTCAATACTAGTGGACTATATCCACCGCCAAGCAGTAGAGTCGTTCAGACTGCATCATTTCAGCCTGTGATGGATTGCCCGCTTGAAATGCCTCTGCAAGATTGCTATTCTTCTGCGTTAAACGTTTCCCCACGAGCCTTCCTTCAGCTGATTGGCAAGACAGGCTAAGGAGGAGACAGGGACCTGTTTTGTCATTTTCAATGCCAATTGCTCTCTGCTCGGCTAAAAGCGCAGCATGTGTCTTGTGCCAGCTCGGCTCAGTCAGTGGCAGTCTCGCCTCTGAGTCTCAAGGTTGTGGTTCAGATATTTGAGCTCACTTTAGGCTGGCACTCCGGTGCAGTACTGGGGGTAGGGGGTTAGCCAGGATTAGTCAGTTGGATGTTAAAGATCTTCTGTCGTTCGTAAAAAAAAACATTTCTTTACACTTCAACGCATGGCCCTTGAATGTCGTACGGGCAAAAATCAAATTGGGATGTTTAGAAGGGAGTAAGAGGTGTTGAGTGGGGGTGGGGGGTGGGGAAGAGAAAAGGCTGAGAAATGGGAATTAAATCATTTGCCATAGCCAAATAACAACAATAACTTTGGTTTATGGTATGCCTCTCTCGCAGGATGATGTTCCCAGAGCACTTAATAACAGGCTCAATGAGCTCAAAGCCTTCTCCTGTTCCAATATTAACGTCATTCGACTGAAGGTCCACTGTGTTTTTGAGATGTAACTTAATTAAGCTTGTAGGCGCCTTAGCTTGGATGCTCTCCATGAGGGGAGATGGTGTGCATGTGTATGTTTTAATAACTACACCCAAATCCTTTTCCTTTTCCTCCTTCACCAATAGACACCTCTTCACCGTACACACGCATTTCACATTTCCTGTCCCAATGACAATATTATACTTCTCTGCCTACCCGGTTCCTCCCTGCTGCTGTTGTTTATTTTGCCAGGGTGATTATAGATGAAAAATACATTCAAGCAAAATCTTTGGTTTGGAGAGAGTAGAAGAATACAATGCGTTATCGGGTCCTTTCCCAGCTCCCTACCAACTACAACCTGTATTCGTATAGCACCTTTCATGCACTGATAGGATCTTGGAGCATGGCACAAAGGCAGAGTTTGAGCATTGCACTGAGGAAGGGATAAGAGAGGTGAGTGTTCAACATCTCACATATTCTTACAAGTTGCACTCACCAGAGGAAACCAGAGGATCAATGGATTCATTTCCTGCCTCTCCCCTCTCCCTCTCTCTTTCTCGACCTTTATTCGACTCCCTCTTGGAAAGATCCCAGGTGGACAGAACAGAACTCCCGCGGTTGTAATTCAGGAGAAACTGTCAATGAATTGGCAACATCATTCAATGGGGCTGGTGCAGGAAATAGGAAATGTCATCGTGGTGTGGAAGAAGTGGGAGAGGCAGAGCATTGAATCATGTGGAAATATGTGTTGAGTGAGCGAGTATGTGAGTGGACATTGGGTGTGAGAACATGAATAGACTCAGCTGCGATGCAAGTTTTCCTTTCCACACAGTGTCATTAACGGCTGGAACGGAGTTGCCAGGAAGGGTGGTTGAGGCTGCAATGGGAAGTGTCAAACTGTGAGCTCAAGTCCTGACTGTAGGGGCTTGAACCCACAACCTTCTGGGCAAGAGGCAAGAGAGTGCTGCCAACTGCGCCAAGCAGGCATCTGCCAAGCATACAATAACCCGACAATTTTCGTTTTTGCCATTCTCATCCCCTTTGCCCATTTCTTTACTTATTTCTTTGTAAATGCCTGCATAGCGCTCTAACTGATTGGAGGGAGAACCATTAACCTTATTGGTTAAACACATGGAGCCTTGACATTCCTCACAGATGTTGTCACAGAATTAGCATCAACGACAAAGAAAACCCACATTCTGTCCCCTCCCACACGTAGACACATAAGCTGTCTTCCCCACCACACTCCTCCCCTACTTCCTTGACACCCTTCCCTCCAACGTCCTGCTCCCTTCCCATGAAAATCCCACGTTTGTGGGACATTGCCGTGCGCAAATTGGTTCGCCTGCAAAACACACAGTCACTTCGGAGTGTGGAGCATACTTCTTGATGGTCCCGAGGACCACTTTCGGCCCCTGGGCCACAGGTTGGTGACCAATACTTTAAATTAAAAATGTCTGTCTGTATTCAGATTATGGCCCTTTATTTTTCCAGATCAGGACGCACAGTGCCCAAGAAATAAAATCACCGAAAGTGCTCCCCACACTAATCGTCCTCGGATGCCTGCTTGGCATAGTCATCTTGCTGGCGTACTACTTCAAGAACAAGCAAAGCTGGAGCCCAAAGTCCGTCAGACTGGTAAGTGTCTAATTTGTGGAGTCCCCTAGCGTAGCAGTTAGTGCGCTCGCCTCGCAAGCGAGAGGACCTAGGTTCGATTCCCAAGCAGGGTGAAACCTGAGGCAAGTTTCCTTACTCCACATGCCTTTGTTTACCTATCGGTAAGTAGGAACCAACTGTCCACTCAGCGCTGTTCTCAGATCGCTATCTAACACTTATTTATCATTGTTATACTGATTTATTTTGAAGTCAAAAAGTATATTCCTCGTGAAGCGCTTTGCGACGTCTCGAAGAGGCGATAAGGCGATATATCAAATGCAAGGATTGTTATTATTTTGCCGCAGCTCCAACTATCCCTGTAAAACAAGGCCGAAATGTCTTTTGTTTTTTTAAATCCACACTTTGTAACTTTTTTTTTGGGTGTAAATGAAACCGGTTGCTTCCTCGCCAATCTTGAACCAACCTTTTACAACCAACTCAAAGCAGTCTGGCACTGCTCGCGTTCGTGGGCAGCGAGTGCCCCCTGGTGGCCAACATCGGGTCTGCACATGAACGCACCCATTCCCCTGCAACAGTGATCCGGACCCCAGGACATTAATGCTGTCTCGAACTTAGAGCGGAATCGCCTCCAGGAGAAGAGTCGCGTAGCGAGCGATTGCTTTCACTGCCTCCAAGGGTACAGAGTCGAAGCGGTTTTACTGACCCAAAATGGCCAAACGTTGGAAGCGCGCGCCCACCCCACAGGCACGAAAACGCTGGCCGAGACGTCTGCCTTCGGGGTCATCGGACCGCCGCGGATGTCACTTCCTGCGCGCCACGATCACCCGGAAGCTGGCCATTTTGGCTTTCCTTCGCGTGACGGTGAATGGGGAAGCGCTGGACAGCTGTGGTGACCCCCCCCCCACCCCACCCCCACCGTGTCCCCCGTTCCAGCGCGGCTAAACTCATCACGAATTCAGCAGGTCAGAATGACCGATTGTGATGCAACACCCCCGTAGGAGCAGCGACGACGCTATCCCGTGACAAATGTTCTTTTTTTTCGTTTTTGTTTTGTTTAACAAAAAAAAAAGGTGGAAACGGGGCCACAAGAGAACGACTGCCACGGCAACACGGCCATGTCTGACGTACCCAGGGAGCCGTCGGTGGACGCGCAGAGCAAGCCGAAATTGAACGGGGAGAACCAGAGCACGGCGTCGGGAACCGGGAACGGGCACCAGAAAAAAATGGACGAAACAGACACCGAAGTGTAATCCGGGGGGGAGGGGGATTGGAAATGACGTCAAAGCTCAGCTTCCCGATTCGTTAATTTATGGCTCCACTCCGACGGGCGAAATCCGCGGCGTTTCCCAACGCGTTCCTCGCCGCTGGTAAGGCGGGCGAGGAGGCTTTGCGAATCGCTGCAGATTTCACCCGTTTTACGTCTGTGGCTCTGGTTTGGTTCGGGGAATCGAACCCCGGGGTCGTTCAATTTGAAATTGAAGCCTTCCTCGAAAAGCACCAGGGAAAGTATCCGAGGGCCGTTCTTTCACCTCTCATATACACACCCACCACCTGCCCCCCGCCCCCTAACCCCCAACAGACCCACCGAGATTTCAGGGTACATTTCAGTGCCCTGAAGGAGCAAGGAAAAGCCAACCATCTTTTGGGGGTGGGGGGTGTACTCTGTATTCTATTTAAAGCAATGAAATACTCCGTCCATCAGCACTCGGTCCCTAACTTGGATGAGTGCATTTACATAGCACTTCAAATTACAACCTTGCCCCCACCTCTCCCCTTCCCCTCCGCCCATCCACACACACCCACGCGCACACACACACACAATTCAATCCGATGTGCGTTTGTTTTAAAAGCTAAATTTGCACATTTTAGGAAGCATCAGTGCAGAGCTTTCCAATGGAGAGCAATGGAAACCAAACGCTGGAACCACTGAATGGGTGGACACATGCTTTGTTGGGAAGTGGCGCAGATCGAAACGTATTTTGTACATAGCTACTGATTTCAATATTCTGTGCAAATTGATGCATCCCATTATTATTGTGAGTCCACAGACGAAAAGGGCATCGATATCTATACGTGTTGGCTGATCTCGCACCCATTGCACCGTCATGTTACTTTGTAGACTGACACGGAAACATTTACCAAATGGCTTCTTACTGTAACGTACTGTTCAATTGCAATGAATGAAAAGAGGGCAATGAAAAGTGGTCCCAACCGGCTCTTTTCTATCACCAGAACTATCACTATAAAGGCCAATGAAGCATTTATGTGTAGACTTCAGTATTGTATTCACTGAAAAAACAAAGCAAGAAGGTTAATATAATTGTAACGTGTCGAGTAAACACCTCTTGATATAGAAAGATTGGGTGCAAGGAATTCTTTGGCTCCTTCGAATAAACAGAGCTATCAGTAACCCACCCTGTTCCTTCTTGTATTGAGGACAGATAAGACAATAAACAAGAGGATGTAGGTTTGGGGTTGTGAGGGGCAATTTCAGGACAGAAGTTTTTTCTTTTCCCATTGGGTAATTAACGACTGGAAAAGGAAGGATGTTTGAGGCCAGGACATTGGACTCATTTCCAACGTAGTCCGATCCTGTGAGGGTAGACGGGTGTTCTTGGAAGGATGAGATCGGATGGGCCAAAGGGCCTTCTACATCCAAACTGATCTTGTGGTCCTGTGAGCAGGAATTCCACTGTGATTAGATGATCGTCTAACATGAACAACAACAAATTACATTTGTCTGGCACCTTTCGCGCTGGGAGGATGTCCCAAGGCGCTGGGCTGGACAGTCAAGGATTTGCACCCAAGTTGGGATCAGGAGGGGTGGGGGTAAAAGAGTGACCAAAGGCACGGTCAAAGAAGAAGGTCTTGAGACGATCCTGGAAAGAGGCAAGGGCGGGGCCGAGGCGAAGGGACTGTGGAACGGAGTTCCAGAGGGTGGGGGAGAAGAGACTTAAGGCCATGTTTTGTATTAGTGGGTAAACAAAGACCGACCTGTAAGGCTGAGGAAGGTTAACATTGTTCAGGGGCAATTGGAGGAAAAAGGGGAAAAATATTTTAGAACAATAGATTTTTGTCCAAGCATACATTTGGTGAAAAGGATTTAAGAATCGCAGAATATTGTTCTTCCCAAACCTGGGCTGAAGCTAAAGGTGACTTAGAATTCTGAGCCACGTTACATTTTAAGCCAAAACTGTCTCGCGGGGCTAAATCCAGGTGGAAATTCGTCCCCGTTGTCCTCACAGAGGCAGAATTTCATTCCCTTTCAAATAAAACGTTGGGGGTTAAAAAAAAATAGAGAATCTAATCCTGAAAACTGACGTGCAGCGTGGGATTCTGTCCATGGAAGCAAGTCTGATTTGAGGTATACTATTTTAAGAGAGAAGTAGATAATTGTTTGGGGAGGACAAGTTTGCAGGCCTATGGGGAGAGCGCGGGGGAGCGGGATTGAGTTGGATAGCTCTTTTTAAAGACCCGGCACAGACACACTGGGCCGAATGGCCTCCTTCTGTGATGTATAATCGTAAGATTCCATGATTGCATTCATATAAGACATAAGATGTGATATAAGATGTGATACCTTGAATAGTGCCCAGTAATGTGTTGCTCAAGGACATGGGAAATTATAGAAAACACGTACAATAATTTAACAAAACCTATCTCTTCCTTTATTGAAGATTTTCTCCTAAAATGTGAGCATTTAGCAATGAAATAACCATTGGTTATATATCGCTATGGGGTATGCCCAAGAGTATTATAGCAAGGGATTTTTTTGTATAAATATTTCTGAATGGTGAGCTGCCAAGCTTGGGGTGGTGAGGTGCTTTGCGGATTGGGGGATTATTTTCTTCAAGAAGAGTGGCCCATCTCAGTAAATCTCAACGGCATTTTTCAGATTAACTACAGACAGGAAAAAGCACAGCTCATTCTGGCAGCAAACCTCATTCAACTCTGTGTCTCTAAAGTATAGCTACAGACTTTACTTTAGCGCGCTCTAAAGTACAAAATGCACAGCTCTACAAAATGTTCTAATCTGTAAAAGAGAAGTCTTTCCATCTTGCTGAAATGCATGCTTTTCCTATAAAGTCATTTCCCCCCCCCCATCCCTCCCCTCCATCTCCACCCCCCACTGCCTCCGCCGCCCCCCTAAAAAATCATTGTCTATACCTCTATTGTATATATAATAAATACGGTTTTAAAACAATCGTTTCTTTTCAAATGCTTGACCTTCTGAGCGGCTGATCACCGTTCAGTAACAGGATTGACTGGGACACTGCAAGAGAGTGAAGTATCCACACACACACACACAATCAGTTTTAAGCAAAGAATCAGATAGCGTAGACCGTGATAAGTTGCTTTATCTTGCATTGAACAGTAGAACCAAAGGACACACGGCTTGCGATTGAGGTGGGAGTTACATTCAGAACGAATCTGCAGAAACACTACTTCAGTAAACGCATGGAAAAGGCTCCCGAGGGAGACGGCAGCAACAGAAAGTGTTGATTCTTTCAAAATACATTTCTATCAGGAAATAATATCTCGGGATGCAACATATAGTTTGGGACATGAGATGCCACTGCCAGGATGGTGGAAGGTGAACTAGATGAACCTTGGTCTTCCTTTGCCTCGCAAATTCTTATCTTCTTATGTTCCTAATCTCCGAGATGCCATCAAATTCTGAATGGGAGAGTGGAACCGCCGACAAGATCTTTGTGGTCTCGGCCAATTGCCCTTAAATTGGGGATTATTGTAACAAAAAACATCTGTCTCACTACTGCTGACCTCTGCTGCTTCAAGTGTATGTCTGATAATAATAATAATAATAATAATCCTTGCATTTGATATCGCACTCTTCACGTCTTCTAGATGTCTCAAAGCGCTTCACAGAATATACTGTAAAATGAATTGACTGTACATATGTGGGCGAAACGCGGCAGCCAATTGCGCACAGCAGCGTCCCCACAAACAGTCATGGATTGAAAATGACCAATTTATTATTGTTTTTGTTTTTTGGAGGGATTATTATTAGGCTCTGTGTGGAGTAAGGAAACTTGCCCAAGGTTTCGCCCTCTGCCTGGAATTGAACTCAGGTCTCTCGCTTGCAAAGCGAGTGCTCTAACCACTGAGCTACAGGACTCCTGATTTCCTCACCCTGAATTTCCAAAGAAATCATAAATGAAACAGGTTTATACTCTTCCCTCGCTACATGGCCCATGAGTCAGATAATCAAAGCATAATAATACTAATACTAATCCTTTTATTTGATGTTGCGCCTAATTCTAACCCCTTTTCAATGACAAAAACTACAGAGAAAAACATATTTCTTCCATGTTACGGAATGCGTGGCTTGGCATCGTTCTTTCTTTCGAGAAGTATTTGAGCTTTCCTCAAACTGCAAGTATAAAACATGCGATTTTAGTGAGAGAGCAGGTGAAGTGTAATCCGAATTCATAAATAACACAGATTTGCATACCTATGCGGTGAATTTAATTCAGGGTTAATCCCTAATCACTGATTTAAAGTCTACTTCTTACCTCACACTGTGTTTGGAACAATACATTTAACAGATTACATTTTGATCCAGTGTGAACACCTTGGGTTTTTTTAAGCGAATGAAAGGAAAATCACTAGATCGGGTTTCTCCGTCTTCACTCCTTTTAAAATCCGAGCTTTCTGACCCACACGCCTGGTCCGAGTTTGCAAATCATTTTCCACTCTACGATTGCCTGTTTGGTCCATTCGAGTTTGCCTACAAGATACACAGTCGTTTACTTCACAGAAACTTCGCGAGGGTATTTGAGACACTTGATCCATCCTCTTCACCTTCAGCCCTCTGGAACCGCATCCCACAGTCCCTTCGCCTCACCCTCTCCCTTGCCTCCTTCAAGGCCTCTCTCAAGACCCTTCTCTTCGACTCGGCCTTGGGTCATCCTCCTACTCCTAACCTCCCTGCCCTCCGCCCCTCCTGATCTCAACCTCCCACCCCCACCCCACCCTCCTGCCCAGCTCGGGTCCAAAACCCCTAAGGATTATTATTTTTATTATTACATAATGATGCTTCCCTCATCAAAAGCTCCCAGTTATAATTTGCTTCGAAACTCTCCTTTATTTTTTTTTCGTTTGCCGCGGGTGAAATGATTTGCATATCCAGTGCAGTGGGGCTGTGTCAGAAAGCTGGGAATTATGCCTGAACGCAGGCACAAAGTCAGCCATCTCTCTGCCGGCTCTCGAAGATCAATAAGCACTAGAGGAACAGACCAAATCAATGTCCAAAGGCTTTTTTGTGAAAATTGATTAGCGTTTGTTTTCTCTTTAAACTCTGCAACAGTGTTTTCCGTGGCTTCTTTCATTTACCTGTACAAATATTTGTCCCTTTCTATCCCAGTCCCACGTAGAACACGAAATGTTTGCTGCTCGTGGAGATTTTTCACAGGATTACGCAACTGCGCTCAGCGTTTCCAGACCGAACGGTGAATTTTCGTGTTTCATTCCTTACTGGCATTCCAACAATCTGTCAGATCTGTTAATATTTAACACCCATTCTCCTCCTCTGGTTCGATAAGTACAGCGTTTTTGCATTTCCAACTACTGTAGACTGCCAAGGGGGATGTTGAAAGGGACCTTACGTGAGTAGGTTGACTCATCGGTCACCATGTTTTAAAAAAAACACAGCGTGAGGTTGTAATAAACCAGACAAACAGGATGCGGGGCTATATTGCCAAATCTGGATTGAGTTCAGACTTCATACCCGGACTACACGGTGCTCTCTGGTCAGGCCTCACTGGAGAACTGTGTGCGGATTTGGTCGCCAAGACCTTAGAGGCAGTGTGGAGGAGAACAATAAAGATAATTCCCAGTGTCAGAGGCAGGATCTCTGAGCAGCGATCAGACAAGCTCGGGCTCGTCAGTCGGGAAAGTTGGGCGCCTTATAGAGACGTGTAAGATTTTAATTAGGATTGAGAAAGCAAACTCGGAACAATACTTTTAATAATAATAATAATAACCTTTGCATTTGATACGGCGCCTTATCCCGCCGTTGAGACGCCTCAAAGCCCTTCGCGGGATACACTGTATAGTGAACTGACTGTATATTCGGTGGGCGAAGCGCGGCAGCCAATTGCGCACAGCAATTTTGGATCCACTGAGACAGTTGAACAAGAGGACAGAGCTTTAGCGTTGCAAAGGGCAATTTCAGGACAAGGACCAGGAAATAGTTCTTTACCCAGAGGGTAATTAACCACTGGAACAGGGTTGACAGGAAGGTCAGTTGAGGCCACATCAGTCATTTAAAAAACAACTCGATGCTGTGATGGGGAGATGATAGGATGGGTATTTTGTAAGGATGAGTCCAGATGGGCTAAAGGGTCTTCTTCATCTGAACCAATCTTATGATGTTGCAGTAAATCCAAGAAAAGTCAAATGCTTCTCATTTGTGTACCCATTGATGCGTTCCTCCTTGTTGCTTTATGTTGCTTAGTTTCTGCAGAATCTATCTGTTTGTTGCCAGCTTTTTATAACCTAGCCTAAAGGCACATTCGATCTTTCAACTTTCTCTCAGTCAGAGCAACTCCAAACGCAGTGTTTATATGTGTGCGTACGTGTGCGTGTGCGTGTGGTTGTTAAAGCTGAGCGACTCAGGTTCATGTGCTGTCCTCCTGTGGATGACCATTGTAACAGCAACTTCAACTTTATTATTGACGTTGTCCTGTTTATAATAAGAATTATCCTTGCATTTTGCATTTGATACCGCGCCTTATCAGGTCCTCGAGACGTCTCAAAGCGCTTTCACGGAATATACTGTAAAGTTAAATCGGATTATTTTGTGGGCGAGATATATGTATATAATATATCTGTTACTTATAGTTTTTTTTAGATCTTTCTCGGGCAAGGGAGAGAAACCGACAAGTTATTATCCTTGCTCCCAATGGTTTCACGTTGTATTTGAAAGAAAGAACGCTGGCCGCAAAAAAAAAGAAGATGTTTGCCGTAAAATGATTAATATTACGATTGCGATCTTGAAATAAAAAGAAATCAGTACTGCATATTTATATATTGGAATGAATTGCGATGTCGCTCAGTGGAGGTATGAGTTACCCAAATGGAGCCCCCAGATAGCACAGAATAATGTGTGACAGATGCAAAAATTGTTCTGTTGAAATCGACGAGTTTGCTTTCTGCCCAGTTTATGCTGTAGGGTTTGTTTGGTGGTGGTGGGTTGGGGTGGGTGGGGAGCTGGGGGGGCGGGGGGGGGAAAGAGATTTGCTGAGAAACTTGCACAGAATGGCTTTGACAATAAGGCCCTCACTTAGCCCGTGAACACACAGACGCAAAGTGATCTGTGCTGGCGGACAGATTACCGAGACCTACTTAAGCATCCGGTCAGTGGTTCATCCCCCTGCAGTGCCAACGCAGCCGGTGAGTTTGATTCAGCCTCTTCCTTACAAAGGACCTCTTAAACCTTCAAAGCTTTTAAGTAACATTTTCAATGTTATTCATTTGCACCCCTGACTGATAACACTGAAAGCTAATTCCAGTCAGCTCCGCCATTAGCCAGGTGAAGCTATTGGAGAGAGAGCGAGAGAGAGAGAGAGAGAGAGAGACAGAGCAATTACTGTATAAAATTGCTCTGATATTGAAAGTGAACTTGGATCCTTGACAGTAATATTAGTTGGTTGCGAGCTATGCAGTGCAAGCAGATCAAGTCTCAGGCCTTTCATAAGGACTTAGCAGCTATCTGTAACACAGTGCTGTGGAAGTACTGATTGCTGTCCTTCGGTTAAGAAATCAACCCGTTTTTGCCTGTTTAGACAGATGTTACAAATCCCGCGACACTGTTGGAAAAGAGAAGGGAGTTTCTCTCCCGGTGTCCTGGCCAACAATCCTCCGAGTACAAAATTGCTGGTTCGCTTCACGGCTGTTTCAGCGATGCGATAAATTGGACTCGGAGACGTGATAAGGCGCTCTATCAAAAGGCAAGATTATTATTATTATTATAAGGTGCTCTATCAGATATAAGGATTATTAATATTGCTGTAAGGCATCTGTAAGCGGAATAGCCTCGCTCAAACAGAAAGGTTATGAGCAAAATATTTTAATAAACCTATAAACAAAAGGCAAAATACTGCAGGTCCTGGACATCTGACGTAAAAAGGTTCTGACAAAAGGTCATCGACCTAAAACATTAACTTTCCTCTCTAAATAGATGCTGCCTGATCTGCTGAGGGTTCCCAGCGACTTCCGTTATTATTAACAAACACGTGCCTTTTTATACCCCTGGTTATTTTTGTGGTACTTAGCGCTGAAACAGGTGTCAAATGTTGCTGCTATGGTCTTTGCCAACATTTCTCGGCGTAGAAACAGCAAGGTCTGTTTTGCTTTCCCAAGTTTTGTTTCCGAAGTTTGGAAGCCTTGTTCAGCGCCTTGGGACATCCTCCCGACGTGAACGGCGCTCTATAAATGAAATCTTGTTGTTGTTGTTGTTGTTGTCGTTGTTTCCGAAGTTTGCCACGGGATCTTTAACGTCCACCTGAACGGGCAAGACAGGACCTTTGGTTTGAAGGATGGCACTTCTCCCTGACGTGGGGCTTGAACCCACGAGCCCTCTGATCCAAGGTGGGGTGGGGGCGGGGGGCTACCAATTGAGCCAGGCTTGACCATCCATCCTGAGTTTAAATCATGCCGACATACCCAGTTACCAGTACGCAATATTCCTGTCAATCATTCGTATTATCTTTCAATTAACCTTGCTGCTTGGTTTTGCCTCGGTCTCTGTCTCTGTTTGGCAGCCTTCACTTCACAGAACAGATGGAGCAAATTGCCGTGTGAGTTGTGTTACTGTCTTTGTTGCGGAGCTACGAGACCCAGAGGTCCTGGAAGGGATTTTTATGAAAGATTCATTACATCATCTGACTGCCACCCCACCCCCTCATCCCCGCACCTCTCCATTACACACACACACCCTTTCCAACCCTGTGGAGTCCTGTAGCTCAGTCATTAGAGCACTCGGCTCGCAAGCGAGAGACCCGGGTTCAATTCCCGGCAGGTCAAAACGTTGGGCAAGTTTCCTTACTCCAGACGCTTATGTTTACCTAGCAGTAAGTAGGAACCCGGTTGTTAGTCGATTGGCGGATCACTTTTATGGGGGTAATAATCCCTTAGAAAAAATTGGTCACTCAATCCACGACTGTTTGTGAGACACTGCTGTCAATTGACTTTACAGTATATTCTGTGAAGCGCTTTGAGACGTCTCGAACACGTAATAAGGCGCTGTATCAAATGCGAGGATTATTCTTATTAATATATCCCACTGCCGCACGTGGGTTTAATGTGATTGACAGATGGGTTGGTGCCGGGTGGGCGGGGGGGGCGATGTGTGGAGAGCCTGGGGAGCTTTTCCATATGTCTATACATGTAGCTCCAAGTCCATTTGCGACAAGTGCCGGGTGATGTCAAACCTCACAAGACAAACAGACTCAAACATGGCCTTGTCCTTCAGATGCTCCCCAAAGAGTGTGTTTGACATTCAAAACTCTGCAGCTGCATCCTTCTCACTCCAGGCTGTGCTCACCCAATGCCTCAACCTCACCAGATACGACTCTCTCCCAGTTCCCCACCCTGATCTTCAAATCCCTTTAAAGTCTCACCCCTTCCTGTTTACGCCATTTCCACTAGTCCAGCACTCCTGCCTCTAACCTCTCACTCTAACCTTCGGCCTCTGGTCTTTCTGCTCGTCCTTCACTTGCTCTGCTTGGCCATTGCTGTCTGAGCCATCGGCCACCCTCTACAGCTTCTTCCCCCAAATCCTCACCCGCCCCACCCACTTCTCTCCTCCAAAACCCTCTGAAACAAGTGCAACCTATTGTGGTAACGCAAAACTAATTGCACTAAAAAATGGTTCATCGCAAAGTCCTTAGTATTGGATAGTAAATGCAACACCTCAATTTATTTTGAAATTTTAAATTTATTAAAACACTTTACAATATATTCTGTGAAGCGCTATTAGGGTCCCAACGACGTGATTAACATTAGACGCAAGGATTATTGTATTCGATCTCAGGAAGACAAAACATTTCATCCAATATCTCCCTGGTTGCTTTTCTGTTGATGATATTTTTATAACAATAATAATCCTTGCATTTCATATGGCGCCTTATCCTGCCTTTGAGGCGTCTCAAAGCGCTTCACGGAATATACGGCAATACATTTCATTGCCGTTCACTGAGGAAAAGAATTGCTTTGGAACATTGCTGTCGACATTGCTGGCAGATGGGGATTTCGCAATCGCTCTGTGCTTTTTATTGCTGCGCCAGTTTTCAACAACAACAACAACAACAACAAATTACACTTGTATTACGCCCTTCACGTTGGAAAGACGTCCCAGGGCGCTGGACAGCCAGAGCTTTTTGGACCTGAGCTGGGAGTTGGGGCGAGGAGTGGTGGAGGGCAGAGGGGATGGGGAGGAGGGGGGGGAAGTTGCCCGAAGGCACGGTGGAAG